GCTGATAGGATTTTCTTTAGCCAACCTTTCTGTTATATTATTTTGGGACTTAGCTGCAATTTATGTATCTTTCTGGAGAGTCTTGTACTTCTGGTGTTATTGTTGTTTGTTAGATGCCGTTGAGTCAAGTATGACTCCTGGCGACCCTGTAAACAACAGATGTGAACCCTGTTCTATCCTGTGCCATCCTTGCAGTCTCTGACACACTCAAGTCCATTGCTACAGTCACTGTGCCAATCCACCAGGTTGAAGGTCTTCCTCTCCTTTACCATCTCTTCCACCTTTCCAAGTATGATGTCCCTCACCAAGGAATACCCTCTACTGGTAACATGCCCAAAATATGTGAGATGAAGTTTTATCCTCTTTGTCTCCAGGGAACACTCTGGCTGCACCTTATCCAAGACATATTTGTTTGTTGTTTTGGCAGTCCATTCAACACTACAACACCATAGTTCAAAAACATCTGTTCTTCTGTCGTCCTTATTTGTCCAGCTTTCAGATGCATAGTAAGTGACTGAAAAGACCTTGGCCTGAATCAGTTACACCTTAGTCCTCAAACTGACATTATTGCTCCTAAATAATTTGGAGAGGTCCCTAACTGCAAACTTTCCCAGTGCAATATGTCTCCTGAACTTGATCTCCAGCATGCTTTTACCAAGTGTGTGGATTATGGATCCAAGGTGGAAGTCATTAACATGCTCATCAGGTTGTGCCAAGAAAGCTGGAGGACAACTACCTGGCCAACTGACTATAAGAGATGCATATTTATTCCCACTCCAAAAACAGGAGACCCGATAGACTGTGAAAATTATCAAACAATATCACTAATATCACACGCAAGCAAAATCCTGCTGAAGATTATTAAAAAACTACTGGGATACTGGATCGACAGAAAACAGCCAGAAATACAAACTGAGTTTAGAAGAGTCTGTGCGTGGCACTAGAAACTTTATAGCCAATGTCAGATGGATCTTGGCCAGAAGCAAAGAGTATTAGAGGAATGTCTATTTGTATTTCATTGACTATGCAAAGGCATTTTACTGTGTGTATCACAATAAACTGTTGCTAACCTTGAGGAGAATGGGAATCTCAGAATACTTGATTGTGCTGATGCAAAACCTACGCAAGGACCAGCAGGCATTTTTCAATACAGAGCAAGGAAACAATACATGGTTTAAAATCAGGAAAGGAGTGAGTCAGCAATGCGTCCTTTTTCCATACCTTTTCAATCTATATGCACAACAGATCATTCGGGAGGTGGGGTTCCATGAGGAGGAAGGTGGCATCAGGATTTGAGGAAGACTCATTAACATCCTACGTTGATGATACAGCCTTGCTTGCTGAAACTGAGAAGGACCTGAAATGCTTGGTGCAGAAAGTCAAGGACTGTAGTCTTCAATATGGATTGAAGGTCAATAGCAAGATGACAGAGATTCTCACCACTGGGCCAAGTGGCAGCACTGTGATAGATGGAGAAGAGATTGAGGTTGTTAATAATTTCAGCTTGCTTCACTATCTTGGCACCAGAAACCAGGAACTCAAAAGGTGAATTGCCCTGGGAAAATCTGCAGTCAGATACCTTTTCAAAGTACTAAGAAGCAACAATGCCAGTCTAGAGACTACGGTGTGCCTGATCAAGGCCATGGTCTTCAGAATTACATGCTATGCATTAGAGAGCTGGACAATGAATAAAGATGACAGAAAAAGAATTGATGCCTTTGAGTTGTGGTGCTGGAGAAGAGTCTTGAATATACCATAGACTGCCAGGAGAAAACCCAGGTCTGTCTTGGAGAGGGTGAAACTTTGTCCTTGGAGGCTAGGATTTTGAAGGTCCATCTCATATATTTTGGGCATGTGGCCAAGAGAGACTGGTCCTTGGAGAAAAAACATCATGCTTAGAATTAGGGACAGTGCAGTAGAGGAAGACTATGGATAAAATGGATTGATACAGTAACTAAGGTAGTGGAGGTAGGTATGTCAGAGTCAGTGAGAGTAGCTGAGGATAGGACAGGCTTTAGAGCTGTTATACATATAGTGCCACTGTGAGATGCTGGTGACTCAATGGCATATAACAACAATAAGAAACATCATAGTGTTGCCTAGTAGTTCAGTGGTGAGAATTTTTGGTTTCTTGACATTGAGATGCAATACACATCAAAGGAAGTGTTTAACCTTCTGCAGCATGTACTTCAAATCATCCTCACAGCAAACAAGGTTGTGTCATCTACATAATGGATATTGTTAATGAGGCTTCCTCCAATCCTGATGCCACATTCTTCTTCACAGAGTTCAGTTTCGTGAATAATTTCTTCAACATAAGATTAAATCGGTATGGAGAAAGGATGCAACCTTGCAATATACCTTTTCTAATTTTAAACTGTATAGTGTTACCTAGCCCTGTTCACACAATAGCCTTTTGGTCTAAGTATAGGTTTTGTTTGGAAGGAGGAGTGGTATCCACTTCCATAATAGCTTGCCTCTGTAAACCCTATGAATTTGGAGAGAGGATGAAAGGCACTCAAGTATTGAGGACTCTCCTTCATAGGGTTGTTATGAGTTGCTTGCGACTCGACGGCACTTAACAACAACAACAATATAGGTTTTGTACAAGCACAATTAAATCTTCTGAGATTCCCATTCTTCTCAATGATAGTGATAATTTTTTATTATCCACACACTCAAATACCTTTGCACAGTCAGTGAAGCACAAATAGACATTCTTCTGGTATTCTTTGCTTGCAACCAGGATCCATCTTACATTAGCAGTGATATAACTGGTGTCACAGCCTCTTCTGAACCCAGCTTTAATATCTCACGGTTCTCTGACACCCCTAGCCATTTTTGAATGATCTTCAGCATTATGTTACTTGCATGTGATATCAATGATAATGTTTTATAATTTCCACATTCCATTGGATCACCTTTCTTGGGAATGGGAACAAATATGGATCTCTTCTAGTCAGTCAGCCAGGCAGCTCTTTTCCAAATTTACTGGCATAAACTGGTGAATATGTCCAGGGCTGCATCAGTAATTTGAAACATTTCAGTTGGTATCCAACTGACTTTTTGGGCCTTATTTTTAACCCATCTTTTAGTGCAGCTTGAACTTTTTCCTTTATTCCCATTGCCTTTTGTTCATATGATACTTCCGGAAATATTTCATTGTCAGTTTTGGTACAGTGGTTGTGTGTACCAGGTGGTTCCTCCATCTTCTTTTGATGTTTCCTGGATCATTCACAATTTCGCCCATATTATCTCAAAGTATTACAGCTTGAGTGTTTAATTTATTTATTAGTATATTTGCTCTGAAGTGAGCCCTAGACTTCAATTTATTTTTGTAGGAAGCCATCCTGAGTACATGCAGCTGCCACCCCTGTCCATCTCTGGGACCATGCCTACCTCTTAAATCAGCACCTGTAAATCAACACCTTGGGGCATGCCCCTCCCTCTCTTTTGTAAACTGATAACCTAGGGCTGGGTTCCCTGGCAGCCCGGCCTACTCCGCGCTGCCTATTTATAGCAGAATTCATCAAATAAATTTGGGCTTGATCAGGAATCTTTGTCTTGCCCCAATCTCTCGTGTCCTTGTTCCTCTTTTAATCCACACAGATTCCACTCTAGAACACGTATGAACCCGCAGGTCGGTTTCAGCTGGCGGTTACATATTTTTATGTTCTTTAAGCTTGAGAAATTCTGAGTGAGTTCTTCCCTTTTTAGTCTCTATTTCTAATTCTCTGCATATCTTGTGGTGTTAGGTATCGTCAATTCAGCTCTGATTCACAGTGAACTATGATACAACAGAAGGAGACCTGTCCGATCCATCACTGACCTTACAATCTCCGGTATGCTTAAACCAACCTGTTGTTATGGTCACTGTGCCATTCCCTCTTGAGGGTCCTGCTCTCTTTCACTGACTGTCTGCTCTTCCAAGCATGATATAATTTATCAGGGACTGGTTCCTCCTGATAACATCCCCAAACTACGTTATTCCAAAAGTATGTTCTTTAAGAAGTACTTCTTGGTATATGATTTTAATGGTTGAGTTTGGTTCTTAATTGTTTTTTATCATTATTCATGTTGTTGTTGTTGTGTGCCACTGAGTCACCTGCAACTCACAGCAAACCTGTGTACAACAGCTCTGAAGCCTGCCCTGTTCGGAGCCAGTGTCACTGACTCCAACACACCTTTCCCTATTATTTCAGTTACTTTATCAATCCATCTCATCCTGGGTCTTCCTCTCCTTTGCTGTCCCTCCACCCTTCCAAGCATGATGTCCTTCTCTGAGGCTGGTCCCTGCTGGCCATGTGCCCAAAGTATCTGAGATGGAGCTTCAAAATCTTAGCTTTCAAGAATAAACTTGGTTTCACCCTCTCCAAGACAGATCTGTTTGTTTTCTTGGTGGTCCATGGTATGTTCAAGACTCTTCTCCAGCACCACAACTCAAGGCATCAATTCTTCTTCTGTCATCTTCTACTTATTTCTACTGCATATTTTGTAGTATTTATGTTCTGTATTTTGTCTTTTTCATATTCTATACATTTCTGACTTTTACTTCCCTTTCTTCTTAAACTCTCAACATTCTATTCTTATATAAAGTGAATTAATATCTCTAAGCTCCTCTAGAATGAGACAGCTCAGCATGCCAGGGAAGAGGAGGACAACCTGAGGGGGTGACTGAGCTCTGGAGTCAGCACGTTTGCAGTGGGCCAGGCCTGGGATGGGAAATAGGGAACAGAGTCTTCTGTGCCTTGTGGGGATGGGGACATGTGACAGAGATTGCCTGGACACCTTCCAGCCCCAGACTTGCCCTCAAGAACAGCAGGGATTGTGGATGGCAATGTTTGGGGACCAACCTGGAGTTGGTGATGGCAGAAAGGTGCCACTGAGAGAATGGACACAGGACAGTACAGGAGGCTGAAGCTCTGGAAAGAGGTTCTGGGCTGGGTTTCCATCTACTTCTCTCTTTCCCCTCAGCTCCTATATGACTGAGTCCACTTTAGCCCTGGAATGCCTGGGCAGCGGCTCGTGATGGCCACAGAGCTTCTATTTGTGCAGCCTCAGGTAAGTGTCTGCTTGCTCTAGGATGTGCTAGTTCTCCTCAGAGCTGCTCACTTTGTCTCTGGACTGGGGTTCTGGTAGCAGGTGACCATGGAAGTCCTGTGCTGCCCAGGGCTCCATGCTGGATGGGATCCCAAGGCTGCAGCAGGGTCCTGTCATTCTAGGCCACAGTGACCTTTGAGGACGTGGCTGTACTCCTTTCACAGGAGGAGTGGGGTCATCTGGGTCCTGCTCAGAGGGGCCTCTACAGAGATGTGATGCTGGAGACCTATGGGAACCTGATGTCGCTTGGTAAGCCCCCACCCTAAGGCACAGCCCAGTGAATAGTTTGGCTGCAGCTGGACCAAAGCTTGGAGCTTAGTTATACCCTGGGCCTGGAGATGGTTTATACCAGCCTTGACCTTGGGCATGTGTAGTCTGTGGGGAAATGGGACAGATGGAGCTAGTAGCTTTCCTGTTTCAGTCTTGGCCTGCTCTGAGCTCCTGTAGAACAGCTTCCCTCCCTGGGGCAGTTTTCAGGTCCTGTGGAGTGTCCTCGAATCTTCATGTTTAGGAGCATTCTGAGCCTAATCTTGGAGCCTCCCTTTCAGAGGGTGTCCAGACCTTCCTTGAATTGCTTCTCACTGAAATTCCAGTCTTAGAGTGAGTTGGTTCAGCTCATATCCTTGGTATCAACCCCCAGCCCTATCTCCTTCACAGGAGCAGGACCTGCAGGTCCAAAACCCGGGATAATCTTACAGCTGGAACATGGAGATGAGCCATGGGTCCTGGATATTCAGGGAGCCAAGAGGAGAATTGACAGCTCAGGTGAGTGAAGGGGAGCTGCACACTACCCCAACCCCCAGCTAAGTTGCTGACCAACCATTTGGGGTCCAAGGTATCTGGTAACCAGCTTAGAAATTTGGGAGGAGCTAATCAGGGCCAGCACAGGAGCTTCTGACTATGATAGTCACCCTTCTAAGCTCATGTGTTTTCATTGGGGAAGGTTTTGAGCTGTCTTGGAGGGTAACAAGGAGAGTTACTAGGAGAGATACGGGAATAGTCATCTGGTCAGTACTGGCTCAGAGAAAGGAGAATGACTACAGAGGGATAGTTGCCTTGTTAGGGAAGACTAGGAGCCACAGTATACCATAGTGCATGCAAGAGGGAGAGTTGAGCACTCCTCTCTGAGTTCATACGCTGCAGGGAGAGTTAGGGAGGGATACAGAGGTAGAGGCTATTACTTCACTCTCCATGTTTCTGAGTTAACCCATCTAATGATTATAGACCATGATAGAAAGTAAGAGAATATATATAAGCACAAATAATCTCAGTTTCTAGGGACAGATACCATCTACATATGCCTTGTTCTACCTTTTCTGGCATGGTCTTTCTCATATCCATGTGTGAACTCTTCTTGTAATCAGCAATGCAATAATGGTTCCATGTGCACTGCTGCATCCCTTTTATTCACTAGCTGCATTTTCATATCGATACTGAGTCTCAGTCACCATTTCTTGCAGGTATCTTGGTACCTGCATAGGAAGGTGGTTTTGTGATTTTCACAACCGTGCTTGGCTGTTTTGGTCACAATACATATTCACTCTTCCAGTATTTGTCTGATAATGTCTTCAAGGGAACTCCTGACTCAAAGGACATGATTTTTCTTTTTAAAGATACTTATTTGAATATAAAAACTTATAGAAACAGCACACATCTTAGATTTACAGATCTGTGAAGTTTACCCAAAGACTTGAAAAGTTTTATCTCTACTTGAGATACAGACTATTTTCAGCTTCCCTGGAGTCTTCCTTTCGCCTCTCAGCATTTCCATTACAATCCCACTCATCTCTGTTGTGGCATGGGGAACACTTCCTTTTAGTTGCTGCTTTATTGTGTTCTATGTGAACATACCATAAGATAATTTCCATTCTCCTTATGGTCATTTGATTTTATTGCTCTTGAACTGCTGTGCCAACCCTGAGGAGGAGTTCATGGAAGCATGCACATGCTCTCCACTGAAGGCTACATCTGTTCCCAGGGCTCTCCCCGGGTGCCCAAGGGCCCATCTCCATGAGCTACCAGCACCTCTGTCCTTAGGCACCCACACAGTATGCTCTGTGTTGTCCTCAAGTCACTATTCCTTCCTCCCTTAATTCCTCAAAAGGTGACTCTGGCTAGTTTTGTGTCCAGGAGACAAACAGACAGGCATAGAATAAATTATAGAAGAGCATATGTGTTAGTTGAGCTGGGTTGAACTTTTCTCATGGTCTTGGGTAAAGTCCTTAAGTCTTTGTGTTCCAGGCAGCCATCTGTAATTCTATTATGACTGTGGGTATAATGAAATTGCTTTTGTGTAGGTGATAAGCAGCAGCATCATAACTTATAGAGACAAAACAAGTGATCTTTAGATTTTTCTGTTGTTTTAGATTGTAGGACCAACATGGAATTCCAAGAGTTGACTTCAGGAGAGATGTTTGATGAACAACAGCAGGATAGACGCAGAGGGACTATTTCTCGGGGATTTGACCTAGGACAAGACACTGAGCCTTGTAGGGATCCGGAGGAATGTCCGGAAAGGCTTGCAGGGCAGAAATCCCCTCGACCAGTAATGGTGACAGTAGAGGAGAGTGGCCGAGAGTCTGGGGAGTGCCTCATGTTGGGGTCAAGCCCTGTCCTGGGTCAAAGACCCTATAAATGTGATATATGTGAGCAAAGCTTTGAACAGAGATCATACCTCAACAATCATAAGCGTGTACACAAGTCAAAAAAAGGAAATACAGTTCCTGATTTTGGGAGGATCTACAATGCAAATTCAATTGCTAATGAAGATCAGAAAATTCCTGTTGGGAAAAAATTGCATTGCTGTGGGTATTGTGGGAAAACCTTCAGATACACTGCTAACCTTGCTAAGCATCAATGGCTTCATAGTGAAGAGAAGCCCTACAAGTGTGATGAGTGTGGTAAAGCCTTCAGCCAGAGCTGTGACTTCATCAATCACAGGAGAATGCACTCAGGAGAGATCCCTTACAGGTGTGGTGAATGTGGGAAGACATTCAATAGGAGGCCCAACCTCATGAAGCACCAGAGGATTCACACTGGGGAGAAGCCCTACTGGTGTGGTGAGTGTGGGAAACACTTCAGTGCCTACTCTTCTCTTATTTATCACCAGAGAATTCACACTGGAGAAAAACCCTATAGGTGTAGTGACTGTGGAAAAGCATTCAGTGATAGCTCAATCCTTATCCGACATCGCCGGACTCATACTGGAGAGAAACCATTTGAGTGTAAAGAATGTGGAAAAGGCTTTACCCAAAGTTCTAACCTTATCCAACATCAGCGGATTCACACAGGTGAGAAACCCTATAAATGTAATGAATGCAAAAAAGCCTTCATCCAAAAAACCAAACTCGTTGAACATCAGAGAAGCCACACTGGAGAGAAACCCTATGAATGTCATAACTGTGGCAAAGTCTTCAGTCAGAGCACACATCTTATACAGCACCAGAGGATCCACACAGGAGAGAAGCCGTACAAGTGCAATGACTGTGGGAAGGCTTTCCACAACAGTTCCAGACTCATTCACCACCAAAGGTCACATCATGGAGAGAAGCTGTACAAATGCACTGATTGCAAAAAGGCCTTTAGTCAGAGGACTTACCTTCTACAGCACCAGCGGATCCACACAGGAGAGAAGCCCTACAAGTGCAGCGAGTGTGGGAAGGCCTTCCGCCACAGCTCCAATGTGTTTCAGCACCAGAGGATTCACTTCCAGAAAGCCTTCTCCCGGTAACTTTGAAGGAGTTTGTGAGTGCTGATCCCTGCTATGCATTTCTCCATTCCTACCTGCCAACCATTATTATTGCCCATACAGTGTTGTCAGAGTGAAAGGCATTTTCTTGTTAATGATTCTTGTCCTCCTTCTTCTATTTTATTTTGTTGCGAAACCTTGTTTCTTAAACACTTTATGCTCATTTTACAGAAATTAAGATGAACAAAAAGAAACTCCCGTAATCCCTTCACATAGGAAAAAAGAATTCATCACTGCCACTTTTGTTTCCTTTAGACCTACTAAACATTGTTTAAAACATGGAAGTTTTGTTAAATTTATTATTGCATCTTCACACCTACAGGAGTGTTCTAGTGGCTTAGTTGGCTGCATACTTAAAGGCGATGCCTTTCTAGAAGTTAAAATCTACCAGCAGCTTTGAGGGAGGAATATTCAGTTTACCTCAAAAAGCCAGTAAGGGATTTGCTATTAATTGGTTCTGACTTGACAGCCATGATTTTAATTATTCTTCACCTTTGCTGTTTCTTTAGAGAGGAAAAAAAATTTAAC